GTGTACGGCACTCGCAGATGGAAAACAAACTGGATCGATATTTGCAAGGATCTTGCAGCCGACCGCCAAGCATGGATAGCGGCCATCAGAGACATTCATGAAGCCGTTCCCTTCCAAGGAGCCAGCCGTAGTAAAGTAAAGTTAGTAAGTTAGCCATGTGAAGTACTTATGTGTCCACACTTGAAAGTAACATTCGCTGGTCCTTACATACCCAAAGTGCTGCTCGTAAGTTGAAAAATCTCTCATTTCAGATAAGAAGACTGCGCCACTTCTGTTCTGACTTGTCGGTGATAAACGCTTTCTTTCAACAATGTGTCCTTCCTATATACGTGTACTGCTCCCCTGTAATTTTTCCTGGTTGGCTGAAGGCTGATTTCAAGTTGCTGAGGCGTAGCCTTTCAATGGTCAGCCGTGTCTCGCAAGTTCCGCTATCTGTTCTGATTGGCAACATTTGTATTGCCCATATTGATGCGTGCTTGAAGTTTGCTGACAATATCCTATCTGATTGCACCCATCCTCCTCACATTAACTTGTGTGCATGCAAATCCCACGCCTCCACCGGTTCGAAGTACAAACTTATCTCGTCTCGCATATCCGCATACAGAAACTCTTTGGTATCCTATCTTGCCTGGATACTGGCTGACAAGGAAAGTGTTCATTCTGAGCTTTCTAATGCATTTAGTAATTAACTCATATTTTCGTACGTTTCACATCCCACTTTTTCACCTGTTTTCACCAGAATTGTAGCGGTGGTCTATTTTTTGGCTGAAAGATTAAATACAATACAATACAAAAACTGCTCTGCTAACTTGCGGGTAGTGATTTTGGTTCGCAAGAGGCTCCGATTGCGAATTTATCAAGAAAATTTACCCGCCTTGACCTGAGCAACCTGGCGGTATTCCGTCCAGAAACAAATCAGAAAGCGTTCTCTTATTATAAAGATCTTTGTACCATGATTTGTTTGGCACAGTCTGCATTCAGACTCAGGTGAAGTACAATACAATACTTTATGGGTTAGCGGCTTATAATCTCGGAAAAATCAACACTGAAATCAATTTTTAATGATCTTATACTAACTGTTAAACAAATGGGCGGGGAGCGACAGCACATGCGAACCAGTATATACTACTTATTATTACACCATCCCAACTAATCTAAAAGATCCGAATCGAAGACCTACTAATAACATGCACAATCCAATCCAGTGATCAAGATCAGCAACAACAGCACGCAAATGCAAATTGATACGGCCTGCGTGATACAACTTTCGTAAGCTTGACAAACGGAAGATTTCGGAGATATTATCTGTTTCTTCCGAAGCATTTTCGTATACAACAGCATTAGAGAAAAACTTGGAAAAACCAAATGATCTGCAAATATTATGCGATTTTCAAAGTTAAACTGTTTCAAAAGAGAGAAACAAAAGACTACACGAGATTTGTCTTAATTGGTCAAGTCACAAAAAGGAAGAGGGGACAACCCCTGAAAGTAAAAAAATCAACTTGAACAAAAGTTCTTTTTATGCCGTCGGAGACGAAAAACAAAAGGTGAACACAAAAACATAAAAGGACACCTATCGGCTTAGTGACTAGATCGACTATCACGGACAGAGATGAGGTGTTTCGTTCGGACTGATTGTCACATCGACTGACCGAGCCGTAGTTGTACAACCACAACGGATCGATGAAATGGTATTCATATGTATATAAGAGGAAGAGAAACAAGAAACGAAGCAAATTAGCTCCATTCTAATCAAGCCAAAGTAATCAGTTTGTTTGTCGCTCCGAGAAAGCGGATCAAATGCAGGTTTCTGAGACCTGCTTTCCGTGAATTCACATATCGTTTGTGGATAGAAAAATTTTGGACCGCAGTAGAACCTCACGGAAAACTAAATGCATGACTCGTCGCGTCTGGATATTCATCTCGAGAAACTGAGTTTGAATTGACTCAAATGTAGATCACCGAACGAACGAACTGAAGGAAAAAAGAAAAAGATCCGATTTTATGCGGTACTTTGAAAAGGCGTTAGTCTTCGGAGCCAAGTGAATGCCATGCCTAAAACGTCCCTCATAATTAACTTGCTTATTGATTTTCACCAGCTGTATTCTATCAAGTTAACGATGGTTGGATTTGCAGAAGCAACCAATAAGCAGGTGGGTTGAGCTTGTCCTAATCCGAGGTGCCACAGATGGAAAGAAAAACAGTGGAACAAAGATGCTCTACTTACAAATGTAAAGTAGTCAAACGGTAAAAGCCGAAGGTTTCCCGAACAAGGGTGTTGATCGAAAGTGCTACCGTATCTCATAATGGGAGCAAATATCTCTTACGCTGATATGGGAAAGTCAATGCAAAAAGCATCTTCATTGTCACACAACTGCGTTCTAGGACATACTGAATGGTCTACAAACTGAATTCCATGAAAAACAGATGCTATGAGCAACGATTTGAAAATTGATCGGAAAAAAACTAAAAACTGGAATGTTGATTATTCCTTTTCCAACTTGTCATGATTTCTTTCTCCTCCCTTCTAAACAGTTGGTTATAAATTTTGATGTATTGGCCTGTAGAAGAATCACCGCAAACGAGCTTGTTCGCTACTCTGTGTTTTCTCACCATGTGTAAAGATGGTATATTTGGACAAAACTAAAAACGTTCTACATAATGCTGCAAATACTTCTTTTTCGAAATTCTCGACTGCACTTATACCATGCAAAAAATACAAGCGTTCAAAGAACGTTCCTTGTACGGTGCAGTCACAAGTTATAATCTGAAGTTCTTAACCAGTAAAAAAACGCAAATGAGAAGGTTAAACTATTTTTAGACTCAATAATAAGAAAACGGCGATGAGTTTATTGGAGTTAAACATGAAAAAGCATAGGAGTGTAATTCCCAGAAAATGGAGCATTGATTACAAAAACAATATTTAGCAACTTGAGCAGTCAATGCAGGTGTTGGTGAACTTGTATCTTTATTAGACCAACCAGAGGACCAAATTAAGTATCGCCTACTTATTTCAGTGAGGTAATTTCCCTTTCCTTGGAAATTTATAACGATCTACCTATGATATGATTTCATCCACTTTTCAGTCTACAGTTTTATATAAGATGTTATCACTATTTACCAATTGGATTCCCCTGTCTTCAACCACCACCCGTTTATCAAAGAATGGCTTGATATAATGCTACATGATACAGGTTAAATTGACTGTGAAAAAATGGACTGTATTTAAACCGTTCAACCTGCGGTTTAGCAAATCTCTGATGTGGTACAGGGAGCTGATTTTCACGCAAATGCGATGTCAATGCACCATTCCTATTCACAAAAAAATAAACAACGGAACTCACATCTTCCATAGCGAATACGGCACGACCGTCTTTGAGACGTTCCTGTGCTTTGTACGTATCGTAGACAGTGACTAACCGCACCAGGAGCAAGATGTAGTCGTCAAACATGATTCTCCCCCGATGATTGGCGTATCGTGAGATAATGGCCGTGTAGACACGATTACTCACACTAAAGCCTGTCGAACAAGTCATAAATGAACATCATGTTATTTGCGTGCGGGAGAATGGATGGTGAAGATCAGCAATTCAAATGCGAAAGAGAACAGTTGACGTAGGATATCGCACAAAGCGTGATCATGTTGAGAAATCGGCTTGAACCAAAGAACAACATAGTATAAAACAGTTGTTTTCCCTACAACACACTTTTCCATCCCACCCAACTCACTGTTATAGACAATAGAACAATAGATACAGACTGCTACCACTTGGTACAGATGCACAGCTTTCCTAATATACTCTCAGAGGAAAATAGGAATATCCGTTTCATTTGATACAAAGAGGTCTACAATATAGTTGGAAATTATGCACTAAAGTTGAATGACCGAAAAATGAGAATGAGTTTGACGGCAGCGCATTTATGCTACCCCTTTGATTGATCGCTTTCCTCTTCTTGAAAACTGTACCGTTAAATATTCAATATAAGGAAAGAAAATTAAAAAGAAATAAAAATGAGTGAAAGCTCCGACTGACTCGCTCTTGAAGAAATCAATTCCTGCAATGATCGTTTATAAAGGCTAAAAAAGAGCCGGCATAAATAACTAAGCAGTGGACAACAGCGAAACTCTCTTATGACCTTCGAGTAAGATTCGGTTTCAGCAACCGAAGTAATTATTGAACGAGCTTGATTGATCACAGTGACTGAAGAAACACACGATGCTAGGGCAGAAAAACGCCCCTCGATTAACCGGTAGAAACAATCAAAGGCTAGTGAAAGTACATAAAGAATTCAAATCCGAATGGATCGCGAAGGATTTTCTTTTCGCTCTTGCTTGATAAAAAATAACCCTTGCTATGGTTTCATAAACTGCAGGGGTTTCACCGCTCAGTTCTATCTAGGGTAAAAGCACTCAAACACACCATGCACTGAGAAAATCGTGCTGTTCTTGACTAGAAACAGCAATTATGATTCACAAGAAAGGTAGGTAATATGCGACATATTCAAAGTGTACAACGAAAATGAACAGTTGACCTCAGTCCAAAACCAGGGTGAAATAATAGATATCACAGTTGTGTTCTGTCAAACAGTTCAACCGGGGAAGCTAAGATCCGAGGGAGTTCCATTATGCGCAAGTAAAAAAAATACGTCTACTTCCGTCTTGCGGTGAGAGAGAAAGGGCAGTACGTGAGAAAACCTACCGAGTGCTCGCATCAAATCACGCAGTTCGAATGCGTCGAATGTTCCATTCTGATCACGATCGTATTTTTTGAACATACTCTGCAAATCATGAAAACAAAATAATCACAACTGAGCATACGGAGTTTTATATGCAGTGTTCATGTTTTAGAGGAGTAGAATTAATGTACGTGTCCTGTGATGGGGTTATACAGTGAGTGGGAAAAAAATTCCCGAAAAATGCTCCCGATTTTTCTGTTATTTTCCGAGAGTTGTTGCTGATGATTTCACAACTCGGGGCACGATTCTCTTCTTGTTCTTTGTGTTTCGTTCGTGAATGCTCCAGCTTGTCAGCACGTTCAGTCATGCGATCAGGAACACCTTGGTATTTCAATCCATGTTTTTTCTAGGACATGCGTTCCCTTAGTTTCCCCGGTGGTGCATGGAGGCGTGATAATAATATCTAAGCGCCGTAGACGGCAAAAGGGAGAAGGTGAAGCCGTACGTGTTAACGGCTTTCATGATGAGATGATAACAAGTGGGTGACATTTTGCTCAATCATACTGTGCCTATGTATCGCCTCGCATAGAGGGATGTTTCAGGATCAATTTGCGGCGAGGATAACAAATGTGAACTACGCATGAGGAAAATACTAACATTATTCAATATAAGAGAGACCAACGGCAATTGAGCATATAAACTGATTTATTATATATATATATATATTTAAAATAATATAAACCACTGACAAATATATATATCTATATATAAACCTAAGCCAGAGTGGAAACTTACCAGATTACGTGAATGTTGTGAATGAAATTGATGATATCAGTTCTGAGGAAAATAATGCCACGAACAGGTTTTGCTTTCAATCATTCTCAGGTCTAGAGATCTGCTCTTACTAGTATAATATCTTAACTGCAGAAGATAAATCACACGTGCACAAAGGCAATCGTGTTGACATACGTGCGTACGAATTGCAAATTTGTAACAGTTCAAATCTGTATCAGACCCAGGAAGTGTGTTATAAATACAAAGCCCAGTTGATTTTGCGCGAATATAAGCTGATTTCAAACTAGGAAACAGTTGTTCCGGCCAAACAATGGATCCGGCTTTATGATAGACACTCAAAAACCTATTTATGCGATACATAAGTAACCTATTAGTTCCTTCCACAAGTCTATCATAGGATTTTAGTTCAAGATGTGATCTAACACACTGCATGTTGAACAGGAAATTTCTAAAAGGACAACCTCGACCATTCAAAAGCGACTGGATTCTACAAAAGAACAGTGCAGTTCAACTGAAAGCAACTTTCCAGGGGTCTAGTAGTGCACAGATACCAATGCTATTTTAAACGAGTTGTGTAAGTTCCATAAGCACTAATCACATAGGCTAGCCCAAAGAACAACTTGGGCTACTGGTCAAAGTTCGCATATCAACCGCGAAGTGATTAACCATTTCACAACAGGACACATCAAAGATGCAGGAAGTGAATGAAAAATCCCACTCCGCAAAAAGTTGAAGAGCCAATTAGGTTCTGTATGTCATTGAGTTGGTGACTGATCAAACTTGATGAATTAAACCAGAACAGAGTTCCTATGCCGTGAATTTAAATTGAGTTGAAATTGTGGAAACAAAACCACGAATTTATAGTTTGAAAAAAAACATATTTATAACGAAAGATAAAATGCACGGTCATACAGGAACAAGTCGCTGTATCCATAAAGCAACTGAAAGAAGAGAGATGTGGTAAACTAATGTACGATCACTGACATGTTGTCGTTACATGCTTTTCAAAAAGAAGCACACGAACTTGAATCGACATTTTAATACCATCGACTCAAATGTGTGATGGGCTCCATTCGATACCATGGATGTGGAGTCGCATCCCAAGGGTGTGAACCTGATGCCTGCGCCAAATGAACTGCAGACTTCACATAACGTTCGAATGCCTTCGGTGTGAGGTTTTGGTTAACCGAAGGTCTTGGTTGCACATTTTAAGGGAAGTAACTGCGTTGGTTTGGGCCACATAGCTGCCTAATGCTTGAAAAGAGATGAACTGGTTTATTAGTTAAAAGATCTCTGTAACTTAAATTAACAGAGACGGCGTGAACTAAACGAAGCGTCAAATAAACACTATTGATTGGATAATGAGTAACTCAGTTAATGATGGGACTGATATCTCAGCTTTTTGTCGGGGGTTTTATTGGGCTTTTCACCTTAAGTTCTAGTATATGGCTCGCTACAACAGAACTGCACGAAAGATTTTGAAGACATTGGAATTCGTATGTAGTTTGATCTCTCAAGTCGCTAGATTTAAGGACACCCGAAAAAATACTGAAAAGACTTTCAAACAGATATCAGGTTCTAAATTTCAGTTATCAGTGTATTTTAAATAACTGAAAGATAGATCTCATCTCCCAAGGGATGTGAACAGCATGTGATAACTAAATTGGACCACGCGCAACAGTCAAACAAACTAATAAATCAAATAAACTGTGGCATTATTATGGTCAAGCGCGTAAATAAGAAATAAATACCTCGAGCGCACTCACCTTCCAAATCCGTAAATCTTGCCATAACTGCTTAAATTCTGTAAAACCGAGGGAACCGTTGAGATCTGCCTGCATTGTGAAATTCAATTAGTGGAAGGTAACGTTTTTCGTCAAGGAAAAAAACCTTATGTGTATATACAAATAGTTAGCGCAGGTAGTGGTCAACAACATACATTACAAGATTTAGGCAAACGAGCCAGAATAAAGTGGCAGTTAGTTAATATTTGTTAGGCAAGGCAGTTACAAAAATGTTTGACACCGATATACTGTAATAATTTCATCATTTTTAATATCCATCGATCAGTGAGTGATAGAACTAAATATCCCATTCACTGTGACATAGAAAGAAAATATGAAAACATAATTAATTTCGGATTATTTATTTAGCTCGGACAATATGTGTTCTACCAGTGAGGCCAGACATAAAAATGGATTTGAATATTTGATCACAGAATATAAACGCAATATAATATATAATATATATATATATCAATATAAAATACATAAGTATGGACACTTTTATTAGTGAATCTCTTCTTAGATGCCACATTGATCAAACATATTCGGCACAATCCACGACATTGTACACAATTACATATGAAGTTCAAACTGAAAAAAATATTTAGAAAACACTGTCGATTTGTGTGATCCTGTCAGAGTCATTCGAATTAGGTAGACTACATCTACCTTGCTCGGGGAAGTTTGGATCTACTTTACTAACACAACTGGGGTTACTTAATCCCATTCGAGGTGAATTAGAAGAAATGCTTAAACGACTGATGTGAACCAAATCAAATGAAGAGTTGCCAAGACCACTCTCGACGTGTTTCGTCTTTGACAATTTCGCAATGAAATCGTTCAAGCTGACTGAGGACAATCGATAGTATGTATGGAAAAAGTAATAACTTCAATTCCTTGGAACTAAAAGACAACTGTATAATCAGATTTCAGGATGAAATCGATCAATTGAAAAGCCCTCAGGGGGGGGGGGCTATGAAATAGAAACTATAGGTAACGATGGGTGTCGGGACTGTCGAATACACGACACTTGGGCGAATGGGATAAAGACTTGGAACGAAAAACAAGTTCTCACTAAACAGGCAATTGTTTTCGATAAAATGTATCAACACAACATCGTTACTAAGGAATTGGACTGGGATAACGAATTTGAATATCAATTGTAATCTCATTGCCAATGAAATCAGCGAATGACTAGTTTGTTCATTCTACGACCTAACGCAGCAGTTCTCTCTCTCTTACTTAATCTGACCAAATGAAATTTTAACTATTGATACTATGCTGCGAGGACAAATTGTGTTCCAATTAAACCATCGACACTTTTTGAATAGAACGCCATGTATCTAAAAAACATGTTTCTATTTATTTGTTTTCATCGGTTGATACATTAAAGAATGTTGTACATTTCACCCTTGCTATCATCGCCCTATTTTTCTACCTGATTCATATAAATTGTGATGTATTGCTCAGAGAAAACAAATCACCGAAAGCCAATCTTGTTTTCCACAATGTGTTCCATTCAAGGGAAATTTTCATTAGGTAGATGGAGAATTGAAACGGTTTGCCCGATCTATTGGTCGATTCCTCGACTGCCGGATGACACCTTAAAGGTGAGAGGAAGCAGGGTATAGCCTTGCCCCGTAGTATTTAACGATATGTGACAATCTTTATATTGACAGAGAGTTTGGACTGAGAATAATTAGTGAGACGGATCTCGTTCAAAGAAACGATATAAGTGATAGTGGTTACTTTCTAAACTGTTGCAAAACCAAACAATGAAAAAATTACATAAGATCAATTTAAAAAGAGACCGAAGTGATAAAAGGATACGTCCATCAGGGCCACCATGCTGCGGGCTGTCTCGCGACTAAAACCGTCGAAAGGAAAGTCTGAAATAAACAAGAATAAAATGAGAAAAGCAAGCTGCAAATGAAAATAGTTATCAACAACGACAGGTCAGAAGTTCAGTGATTAGTTGGGTAAAGTTGAAGTGATTTCAACACGACAGTAGTACCATTTGATTCGATTTCTGTGCTAAACCATACAATAGACGGTAATATACGAACAATTCAAGCAGGAAAGAAATAAAGGGTAAGAATGGAGGAACTGGTTGACTCATAAAGAAAAACATCCAAGTGTCCACGAACTAGATTGCCTATTGTCACCAGCGACAGGATAAGTCGATCCTGCGGGCCTCGAACACGACCCGCATACTGGTCACGCGTTTTCGAGTCCTCGTTTTCATCGCCACATACCGAGGCATGTGTGATGTATTACCACGGAATCATTTGGGAAATGTGGAGTGAAAGTGATTAACTAGCGTACAGGTCCTCCCGATAAATGTAAGGTGAATGGTGGGAAAAGGAACCTGATCTGGCAATGGGTTCTAGCGTATCCCACTCACAGGAAATACTATTAACTAAAAAGACTGAAATGTGATAACTCGAATAGGCTAATCCAATATTGATACTCTAAATACTACTTATTCAAATTTATCCAAATCAAAATCTTTATGACTAAAATGTAACGATGAAGGACAACTCGCTGCTGGTGTTTAAGAATGAAGTAAGAGAGTCATAACGGTAGAGTTTAATCGATGAAAACGGCACAGTGGAAAGAGTAGCCACTGTTGATTGAGTGCAGTATTCTTTTTTGATTGTCTCTAAATTGAGATATCCGGTTGATGGCGAAAACGGTTGGGTATATTTTAAAATAATTATAGTTGAATGGGGGTAATAAACAACTGCGATTCGGTCCAAAGGTGGTGGTTCGCGACAAGTTGTCATGTCCGACGGTCAACGATTAAGTTACATGGACTACGGTAAAACCAGTTAGCACAATCGATCCATGGGGTAGGGTTCATAGTAAGCAATTTAAGATCATTCAGTGAAGTCAAAAACAGTACGATAAAATTCAGCCGAAGGGGTGGGGGGATGTATGACATCGTGTTTGTGAGGATGGTTCTCTTGAGTTCAGCAAACGTGGGTCATCAGTCCATTCACTGGCGTTTACTGTTTATTGTATTGACTTAAGTCACTACTCTCCCGCATATCAAGTTTGACTTTATTTCTATCCTATTATGATGGAAGGTGGCACAAAGACAGCCCCGACTAGCGAACGAATCAAGAATGGGGCCCATCCAACCAGATGCGCAGACGTAGCGGCTGGAAGTACTTCGCGAGACAATGTCGACTACCACTCGAAATGGACGAATCGACAATTACAGCCCGATGGACAATCCGCAACTAACCAGAAAGATATCCGCCGAATACCACAACGTCGGAGCTGTCGATCAACGTATCTCGCGCTACGATCGTGTCGGAACGGCATGCGGAAGAAGAGGCAACGTACGTGCCAAGTGCAAACCAAAACCACCAGACTGACGCATGAATCATCCTGCCGCACGGTTAAGAATTGATTGTATATAATTGAACGCATATACCAGTTGCTTTTGGAATTGGATCAATAAACGTTTTTCCAGCCGATTCGCCTTCTCGTTACACTGACTGTCTTCTGCGACACTCGTCATCACCCGATGAAAGGAGCACTAAAACTGAAACCCCGGTCCAGACACCTATTACTCTGAACGAATAACACGAGAAACGAAATCCGCTCGAAGTTTTGTATATGAACCACCAGGGTGAAACTTCTGCATTATTAAAAAAATCAATGACACACCGCTAGCGCTGAACGTACCCTTGGTGAAAGCCACGTTCAAGATATCACGTAGTTCATGTGCCGTGATTTCACCCGTACCGCCAGCAACATCATTGAATGCCTGTCGAAGTTTTTCTGTCAGTTCATCTTGGATCACGGGTTCCGGAGTGGGAAGCTGTGTGAAATCAACAGAGTGGAGATCAGTTAATCTCAGTACGAGAAGTCATAAAACAGACCTTTTGTTGAATTGGTTCTATCCGCGGTTTTTCTGTAATCCGTTTCTCATTATTCTCTTTTTTCTATCCGATCGCTCATATTTGCACTGTTCAGTACCTCATTTAGAAAGCAAACCATGAATAGAATGAAAACTGCACTTTTGTGGAAGCAATTTAAATAAAGCCTTGGTGGGTAAGACCTATTTCCCCAGAAACATACAGTCCTGAGGCAAGTTGAGTCTATTCACAAACTCAATAGAGTCCGTTATTATTTCAAATTGTCGATGGGGTCATTTCATACTTCAGTAGACTTCAGCAGTCCTCCTAGGGGTGAACAATGAGAACGAAAAAATCGCACATGTGAAGATTAAATAAAAACAACTGTTGCTTCCCCCCCCCCCTCTAAGCAAACACACACACACACACTTGACAAATGAGGCACAAAAGCACATTACAGCAATTGAGACAACAGTCTGCGGAAGAGATAGTGTGTGTGGGTGTGGCGCATGAAGAAAAGTACTGCAAAAGGATGAAGTAAAATAAGAATTACCACTGAATTAGCCAAGATACTGGTTGTGTCGTCCATTTCGCTGAGATCATGCGAATAGGCGAAAGCAAGTAGTAGTGACACGGTTGAGAAATGCGATGATGAAACCGATTGAAACAGTCACCGGTGAAAGAGGTGTGAGGTGGGGGTGGGGGGAGAGAAAGAGGAATTGGAGCCAATTACTTTCAATGTTTAAAAATGAACACATGTAAGATAGCACAGGATAAAAATGGG